GGCCTGCTCTAAAGGTCCTCCCACCTATAGTCACCTGGAAACTGGGCAACTTTGGAGGGGGCATCTTGAAAACTAAGGGGGCCCACTGGTCCCCTACCTTGAAACTAGTACAACGTGATTTAGGAAACTAGTGGGAGGTCTCTGAGCTAACAGGGTCAGGATTAAGGAAGAACAAAGGGCCTTGATCCAAGGGATATGGGGGGAGCCTGAGATCAGTCTGCATACACAGGAGGATTGTTGGGTATTTTAAGACCACCCAAGGGGAGATCTAAGTGTCCAAAGTGCACCAAGTCCCCCGTTCCCCTTCAATGGTGTTACAGACAGTACCTGGAACTTACGTGCAATCTCCTTGAGTGTCCAAGCCTGGCACTGGGCTCTGGCTGCAAAGTCCCATCTCTCCCTGAGTAGCCAATGCTGGGCTTCTCAGACACATGCCTCGGGCATTCCTAGGAGCTAGGTTTCCACCTTCAGGTTTAGAGTGTTCATGGCGAGTGGTCACTGCCAACTCCTCTATAGCCAAGTGGTTTTATTAAGGGAGACAGAGCATCTCTTTGGACAGGATCGCCACAGTGTTTTCCTGATTGGCTACTGTAATGTTCTTCTGAATGACCATGCTTCATATTAAAACAATGTCTTGAAGCCGTTAATGAATTCCATTTTTGAAATGTGATTCATACCCTAGGATGAATCAGGATATAGGTACCAACTGATAAAAATGCATGAAAACACACACAGTCCCTTATTCATCCTGGAACAGTCATCTACAAAACTTGCATGAGCTTTCCTCCTTAATTCTTTGAGAATCTGGAGGCAGCTCAAGTCCCCACTGAGTGTGATGTATGTTCAGCATCCTTCCACAGGGAACTTGCCCCCTGGGGATGGCAGAGTGAAAGTAACTGACAGTCTATAAGTTTAGTTGTGCCAGCCCAGGACGAGCCCTATGAGCCCTATGGAATCATTGACCTTCAGAGATGCTGGGCACTGTAGAGCTGTGGTCCCCAACCCCTAGACCCCAGACCAGTACTGGTCCGTGGCCTGTTAGGGACTAGGCCACAGAGTTCTGCCACCACCCACCCTGGTCCACGGAAAAATTGTCTTCCATGAAACTTAGGAACCGGGGTGGGTGTGTGCTCATGGTAGGAAGTGACCAGTGGGCAAGCGGGTGAAGCTTCATCTATATTTATAGCGGCTCCCCATTGCTCACATCACGGCCGGAGCCACCTCCCCACATAGCCCCCCCTGCCCTGCCCCCGGTCCATGGAAAAATTGTCTTCCATGAAACCAGTCCCTGGTGCCAAAAAAGTGCGGACCACTACTGTAGAGGGTGTAGGTTCCATTTCTCTCATCTTTCAGAAGCAAAGAAACAGGCACAGGGAGGGGAAGTATTAATACTTGCTGAGATCCCTTGGCTGCTATGTGTGGGACTGAGCCTGGGACCATCCTCACTTCTTTGTCAGAACCCTTTCTCTTCATAGCACTTGACACTATTCTCAGGCAAACCATTTCCAGAAGATTCCATTACTTTATCTTTCTTACATGATAGAAGAGACAAGAAAGTAGATAGCAGTGATGTCAAGTATGTGATCAAGTTCTGGAAAATGTGTGTCTTTTTCTAATTGCTGTTGTTCAATGATCAGATTCTCCTGGGCCAAAATGTGTACATACAGTGAGGTTGAGATCTCTGGATCCTTCCAAAGGTCATGGTCACTTTGCAAAATGGGTCTGATACTGAGAAGATATAGATCTGTCCCTTAGGGTAGTGAAGAAGCCTTTTCAGATACATAAAGTTTGTATACCTTGGGTCTAAGAACAACCAAAATAAAACACTTCCTATGTTTCTCATATATTATTTATTTTAATCTCTGGCCCTAAATTTAGATTCTGAAGCTGTGGAGGAGTGATGAGAAACACTAGATTGTCATCATTATCCTGCCCTAGGGAACATTCTGGTTCTGCCTCAGGGTAGACCTTTGATCTTTGGGCAAGTAGGGTAAACTTTCTAAGCCTCAGTTTCCTCTGCAGTAGAGAGAAGACAACATCAACCCTTCTCAATGTTGACTAAATACAGAGAGAGAAGAAAAACACCCAGCACTGTCCCTGGCTTCCCAGCCTTCCCTTGGGCGTGGGCCTGCATCTGCTATGGGGTTGCTTCAGGTCAAGGACTTCACTGAAGCCCTGATTGCTCTGAGTCTGTAAAATAGATTCTACAGTCCCTACCTCAAATACTGAGTCAGAAGAGGGTTAAGGTGAGAAATTTCAAAAGCACACTAGGTCTAGAACCTCAGAAAAGGCTCAAGGAAAGAGACTTAACCTGGTGTTGTTAGAGAAGACAAGTCCCAGGTATGATTGCCCAAAAAGCACTAAGGCTAGCTTGGGAGAGAAAAACCTATGTCTCCATGTTTTATAAGAAATTAGATTAGAATGTAGAAAAGCCCCATTCAACTTTACCCAAAATGAGCTGTAATGTTAACTCCATTCCTAGTTAGAGCCAGAGAGAGTACAGCTTTGACAGCTAAAAGGAGACTGCCTTGGAGCAAGAATTTCAAATCGAACTCATTTAATGATGGGGCATTTGCATAACCTGTGTCACAAGGCAGGATCTGGCCCAAACACTGCCAATTATGATTCTCCAGAGTTCAAAGATCCCAGAATTGATGATGCTCGGTGCTGGGACTTGTATACTCTGTTTGTCCGTTTGTCTAGTACGCACATAGGGCACATTTGCCAGGCAGTGTCTGAGCTAGCATGCCACATCTCTGTCCCAAGCAGAAAATAGGACATCTTTAATTGGATGAGAAAAATTAAGATAGAGGATAGTTGCAGAAGTTAAAGCTTTGGGAAAGGCATGAATAACTGTCCACATGGGATGGGGGTGGCTGATAGCTTTCTCTCCCTTCTTCTGACGTGATCATTCATAATGTGGATGAGTCTTTCTGCCTCTCCCCAGAGGAGCCATGTTCAATGGCTATGCCTTTCCTTACAACGGTCACTTTGGTGTTGTAAAGTACAAAATGTTGAACCAGTTTTCTCCTTGTAATATGCTGTCAAAAGCAGGTGCCTTTGAGCATGTCTTGAAGATTAAGGCAGCCTATGATTCCCAGACACCAACTCCAGAGCAACAGCTCAGCCCACAGAAGAAAATAGAAAGTCTTCAAGGCTGTTAAAATATGTGGGCAGCAAGTGGCATGTCAACTCACACAAGGCGGGAGCTACCAATTTCAGCTTGCCATTATAAAGGTGAATTGTCTAAATCGCGAAAGGGCGAGTGATATTAACCTTAGGACCAGAACGATGGCAGCTCCCGGAGAGCAGCTGGGGAACGTAAATCTCTACCAGCCAAGAAGCAGAAAGATACTTAATAGAAGTATAATTGAAGGATTTTTTTTTCCTTCTCTCCTAAACTTAGATAGTTTGGCTAGTGTCAATGGGAATTATGTTACTCTCACTCCTGGGCAGGGCCAGCTGCCTACGGTGTGGACACTCATTAAAGGACAGTCCAGTGACTGGCTGCCTGCATCAGAATCTGCCCCACTGCATTCTGAAATTCCCGCACCAGACTGGTCTCGGAAGTCAAGGCAGTAATAGCCCCAGAAGCAGCTGTTCAAATGTATAAATGCTAATTGCAACTTAGCACCCATTAGCAGCACCGCAAAGACTGATTTATCAAATTAGCTACAACCCTCTGAGAGCGAATACTTTAGAATCTTAAAAAAGCCAAATCAAGAAGAAATGTTAGAAAACATCTGATCTAGATTTTGTATTTGAGAAACTTGAGACCCAGAGAGGTGAAGTGACTTATTCAAAGTCCCCAGCAAATCAGTGGCAGAGCTGGGACTGAAGCCCAGCATTCCCTGGGTGCTTGTTTCTGGAACCATCTCATCCATAAATCCTTTGTTTTACAGATGAGGAAACCAAAGTCCACACATGAGAAGCAACTGGCCAAGCCTGGACCCAAACCCAATTCCCCACATTCCCTGTCATGTGTCTATCTCCTTTTTCAAATCCCCATGGCTGGGGAGAGAGGATAAGAGAAAAGGTGACCAAATGATTTGCATTTTGGTGCATCTTCAGTTAGTCATCAGTGAGCTCTGGGTAACAGACAGTGATCATGTAAGGAAGGAGAAGAGAAGCTGTGGATCCTGAGAGTGGGGAAACCATAGAGTGATTGGACACAAGGGCGATTCCCCCAGAGAAGCCCCCACAAAAACCGTAAATGTCCCAGGGCCCGGCTCCTCCTTGCTTCCCTGTCTTCTCCTTTTCCCATGACCTTCCCTAGCTCCTCCACAGGGGAGAATAAATCCTGAGTCACTATCACAGACTTGGCCCTCTTCCCTGGAGGGGAGCTCAAAGAGTAGTTGTAGGGCTGGTGAAACAGGACTGTGACCACCACTCGGTTCCCTCTGGCCTTTCTCAGCCAGACAGGACAGGGCCTGACTAGGGTTTTTCCCTGAGCACCAACTATGGGCCACGTTCATTTTTATCCATGACACATTTTGCCACCAGTTCTCACAGCAAACTCGAGAGGAAATTCTCATCCCAAAGTGCAGCCGGGGAACTTTAGAGCCAGAGAGGTTCGTTTCCCTGCCTGGAGTCACCCAGCTGGTAAATGCCAGAGTGAGAGGTGGACTCAGACCTCTCGGGTTGCTCAGGCAGGCTCTGCCCTCCGCACCTCAGGCCCTCTCTGTGTCTGGAGGCCACCTCGCCATGCACAGCTGCTTCCCAGCCAACCTGGTAGCTCTTTTCTTTTTTTTCCTTTTTTTAACATGCTTTCTCTGAGGACACCTCCCATCATGTGAATTATAGAAAGGACACGTTTTATTTTCTTAGCCCTTTTTCACCAACACAGCTCCCAGCCCCCTGTGGAATTGGCAACTGGCCTGTCTGGACAGGGTGGAGGTTGTGGGTGTAATGAAAGCCAGCCTTCTGAAGTGGAGGGGTCGGGGCTGGAAGGCCATGTTAGGGAAACAGTTTGTTCCACTGACCCTGGGCTACCGTTGCAGGTCTGGAGTGCAGCTTTGACTTCCCCTGTGAGCTGGAATATTCCCCTCCACTGCACAACCTCAGAAACCAGAGCTGGTCCTGGCGCCACGTCCCCTCGGAAGAGGCCTCCCAGATGGACTTGCTGGACGGGCCTGAGGCAGAGCGTTCCAAGGAGATGCCCAGAGGTAAGGGTAGAGGCCTCCGGAAGTGTCCTGGGTGGGCCAGGACCAGGCTGGATGCCTATCTCTGTTTGAAATGGTGAAGTCTCTTCACCCCTGCTCTGCCCTGTTTACCTTGAAACCGGCTCTTAATATCTGCACCTCTACGTGACTTCTTGGGCCATGCAAGGAAGGGAAGGATGCAAGTCCAATTTCAAGATCAGTCCAACCTCCTTTATTCTTTTATCAAGTAATAGAAATAGGATTTCATAACTCTCTTCCATGCAGACTTCCCAATGTAAGATGTAGGAGAAAGTGCCGATCTGTTTATCCATTCATTTGAAATGAGATTGCCAGATAAAATGCGAGATACCCTGTTAAATTTGAATTTGAGATGAACAACAAATAATTTTTTAGTATAAGTATGTCTCATATGATATCATTAGAACACACTTATACTAAAAACTATTCCAATTATACTAAAAAATTCAAATGTAATTGAATGTCCTGCATTTTTATTTGCTAAATCTGGGAATCCGAATTTGTAAGGTATTGCAGAACTGGTTAAATGTTTGTTGCAAAGCCATTCATGAATATTCAGACTGAATGTTTGCTTCACATGGGGCTTCCAGTAGTCCCGAGCTCTTTAAGAACATCCTCTTCTGAATTATCAGGGCCTGGAAAAGGTAGGCTCTGAGCAAGTAGTGGGTGTTTGTTAAATATTTTCCGAGTTTTTAAGAGAGGGACGTAGAGGCACTAGGCCCTAGTCCAGCCTCAGGTCTCTCCAAGTCAAACCTTAGGGCCCCCAATTTCCTGGACCTGGAAAACTCTACTGACCCAGCACTGACAACCCATGTTTCTGGTTTTTAGGAAGAAGTAATAATTGAAATGGCAATGGGCTCATCGAACATTCAATTTGCAGAGCACTTCCAACTTTACTATTTCACTGGATTTCAGTGTTATAAGGGAGGCAGGGAAGATGAGAAAACCAGAGCTCAGAAAGGGGGAGTGACTAGCCCAAGATCACACATCCTGTGTGTATGGGTCCGGGTATAGATGCCTGCTGTGCTGAGTCCTAGATAAGGACACTTTTTACCATGTCATATGTCTGCCTTTGTAGCAAAGTGGTGACCAGAGCCTGCTCTGTGGCTAAATTCTTGGGGGATGATGATTTTGGGCTCATGCTACCAGGGAATCTAGCAGGGACAGGGCTCTGGTAGGCTGATGGGGAGGGTGGAGGTGGCACAACTACTGCTCTCGGGCTCGCACACCAGCGTCTATCCTGTCACAAAAGAACATCGAGACAGATACCTTTCCTTTCTACACACTCTCCTGGGCTGATCTCTTCTGTTTTTATGATTCCCTTGAGATTTCTTGACTTTGATTTGTATTTTAAGCTGCATTCACTTGGATATAGGTATGTATTATAGGGTATGTATGAGGATAAGTGAGTAGTTCTTAACCTGATAGCACATCAGAATCTTCTGGAGAACTTATGGAAAAAAGTACTCTCTACACTCCATAGCCTGAGATTCTGATTCAGTAGATCTGAGGTAGAGCCTAGGAATCCATATATTTTACAGTTTTAATATGAAAGCTAGCATGAGCAAAACTGTAGATATAATATATATGCATAGATTAGAGATTACAATAAACCGACATCTGCATTTTCACCACCAAGCTTGAGAATTTGAATGTTATCAGTCCTTTTACAGCCTCCTCTGACCCTACTTAGATCACAGGCTTCTCCCTACCCTCCCAGGTAACCACTGTCCTGTATTTTGTGTTCATCCTTCATTTGTTCTTCTTTAAGGCCTCAACACCTACAGATATAGCCCCAAACAACATATGGATTAGGTGTGTATGTTTGCAATCTTTTATATAATAAATGGAATCATACTTGTTTGATTTGTCCATTTTGATACATGTAGCTGGGGTTCATTGTTATGGGTACTACATTGAATCCACTGTGTGAAAATACTGCAATTTATCTCTTCTACTATCTCCCATCCAAGTACTAACCAGGCATAACCCTGCTTAGCTTCCCAGGTCAGATGAGATTGGGAACATTCAGTGTGGTATAGCCATAGACAATCTCTTCTACTGTTATTGAACATTTGAGTTGTGTCTGGGTTCTTGCTATTACCATCAACACTATAGTAAGCATTTTTGTGCATCTCTCTTGGTGCACATGTCCAAGAGCTTCTGAGTCTAGAGTATATAACTAAGAGTGGAATTGTTGAGTCAGAGGGCCAGTGCGTCTTCCATTTCATTAGGTGATGCCAATCTATTTTCCAAAGTGGTTGCACCAATTTATACCCCACTGGCGGCCTATTAGTATTCCTCCCCATGGTTACATCCTTATGGATACCTGGTATTGTCAGACTTTATTGTTTGTGTCCATCTGTTGAATGAGAAACAGTATCTCATTGTAGCTTCAACTTTGATGGAAGCTGTTTTGTTTTATTTTTTATAAGTTTCTCAGGTGATTCTGAATCCAAGTTAGGCTTGCTGCACTGTTGACATGGACCACTTGCACACTTGCTCCCATTCTACCATCTCTAGGGATGTCTCTGGATTCTAGGACCCAACCTCTAGAAACATGTATTTTTGGTCAAGATAGATTTCTTTTGAGAATTTGTATTCTAGGGATTGAATTGTGATTACAGTTCAGTGGGATCAAAAGAGAGGGACAAGTGGCAATTTTGTTCTTTTGAATTCCACTGACTTTGTAGAGTCAGACATTATAACTCTGAAATTTGATGCTTTAAAAAAATTTTAAAATGGTGCCAATAAATTGTGCATTCCACTCTCTGACCTATTTCTCCTCCTCCACCCTCTACTTTGTGATCTCTTGCCCACGCATGTTAGGCTAACTGCTAGGAGAAAACAAATAAGAAGAGGGAGAGGAGAGAAGGAAGGAAAAACTAAATATTCACTTCTTAGTGTTCCTTAGTGGAACTTAGTGTGGAAACATAGTGACACCTTGATGTTTTGTGAAGCAGGGTGCCAAGGGTTAGTACATGCACTGAATGAAACCTATTCCCAGTAGATGGATCAAGTGAGACTGGAATATCCAATTTTTAAGCAAATGTTGTCAACTTCCATCTCTCCAGAAAGTTGTTGCTCTTACTACGAGGTAGTAGGTAGCATCACTGTGGGTGATGGTGTGAACAACCACAGCAAAAGCCACTGTGGACACACCAGTGTCCTTTACCAAGCTCTTTGGTGAACAAGCACATCCAAATATAACTTGAGGGAGTCTCACCACTGTTGGAAACTTGTGCTTATTTCTCTGGGGTCTATACTCATACGGCACTGATAAGTTATAGACACAGTGGGACTAGCCTCCCAGCTATTGCAGGGACTCCCCCACCCCTATAGTGACACCCTTTCAGTGATGGGTCTCTCATCACTTTTTGAGTCAATTCATTACATCACTACTTGTTCCCTGAAGTAGGGCTGTTTCTCATGAAGCAGGCTGACGTAATAATGTCCCTTGACCTTCAAAGAAAGAAATGAGAATAGAGGAAAAAACAACAAGCCCACTCTGCACAGTGGTGAAGCAAGAACCCACCTTCTAATCCCAGCTCCCAAATCTCTAGCATCAGTTTCTCTGTCATGTTGGCAGAAAGGACACTGGTGGTGAGGAGGAGGAGGGGCAATGAGGTGGCCTTTAGGGTTGTGCAGTCACTGTTTTGTTTTGGTTCTTAACTCAGCATTTATTGGTGGGATGGTATTTAGACTAGATTGCAGTATTTCTTGTCAGGGGATGTAGAAGGGCCAGCAAAAGGCAGCGAGATAATACCAATCATAGATAATGAACAGTAAGAGTATAAATTCCAGATGATTTTAATTTACGGCTTCCATCGCTGAGGATAATAAGGGAGATACAATTCAGAGCAGCAAGATAATAAAGAGTGATCATTTTGATGGAACACAATATTATAAATTAATAAAATCTTAAGGAACCATCAGGTTGAGGTATTTGGTGACTTTTTAAGCAGTGTCAGGGGCATGTTTGATGTCTGCTCCTTCCGGCATTTTGGAATGCAGTCAAGGGAACATGATTTTCTTCTCCAGCAAGACAAGATTTTGCTCTTTAGCGTGGACCTTAGCTCACAAGTGGAAAACACATTATCAGCCCCTGCCCAAGCCACCAGCCTAGCCTCTCACGCCTGTGCACACACGGGAAGAATGGGTGTAGACTCTGCAGCAAGAAGCTTCACATTCTTCCTGTATCAACTCAACTTTCTTCTGGTGCCCCAACTCCCATGTTTGTGCTTTGTTTTGTTCTGCTTTTGGTGGAGGGTCTGGCAGGAGCACTGCTACTGAGATTCTTCTGTTCATCAAGATGGCTTCATTTTCAAAAGATTGAAAAGCACTGTCATGGGGCCCATAATGACTAAGGTGGCTTCCACACGTGGCCAGGGGACTGCAGGTGCCAGAATGGAGTTGTTCAACCTTTTGAGCCACTCCTGCTGTGTCCTTGAGTATTAGTTTCCTGTGGCTGCTTTAGCAAATTCTTACAAACTAGGTGGCTTAAAACAACAGAAATGTATTCTCTTCTAGTTCTGGAAGCCAAAAGCATGAAGTCAAAGAGTCGGCAGTGTTGGTACCTTCTGCAGGCTCCAAAGGAGAATCCATTCTGGGCCTCTCTGGGAGCTTCTGGTGGCTGCTGGCAATCTTGGTGTTTCTCAGCATATAGATGTACACTAAGAACATCTTGAACAGCCCCAATGGCTGCCTCCACCATCATGTGGCTTTATCCTCATGCATCTGCCTCAAATCTGTCTCTTAGAGGGACACGTGTTATTAGATGTTTTAAGGCCCACCTTGAGTCCAGCATGACCTCATCTCACAATGCTTAGTAACATCTGCAACTATCCTATTTTCAAATAGGGGCATCTTCAGGAGTACCAGGGGTCAGGATTTGGACATACCTTTTGGCCACTATTCAAACCACTATACCTCGATTTTCCCCACCTTGTTTCTGGGTTGGTGTGTGGATCCCCTGCATCTGGGGG